CACGGTGTGTTGGTTATATCAACTAAACAATCTAGTATGGAATTATCCTATACTACAGAGCCTAAGTTTTACTCTTACATATATCCACAACCTCAAAGAAATTGATATCAACTTCCCAGAGATCTTAACAAACACACTACCAAGTTCTGTAGCTAGAGGTGTCAGTACAGGGCTGTTTTCTTGCAGACAATCAATATAGTGATTCACTGGGTTAACTAAACAGTGAAATTATTTCCATAATAAAGAAATGCATAATTTCTATGCATTGTGTTAGGCTTTTCTACATTACACTGTTCTTAAAAAAGTTAGTTAGAACTCCTAACGCAAGGAAGTAATAGAAATTCGCAAAGTTTCCGTTTTTTTTTAGCGGTGTTAAGCAGTGGTAAAGACGCTGGACGTTCACTGTCGAGGTTAATCATAACTATCGATGACTGGGTAAATTAAAATTTCTTTTAGTTATGAGAAGAGTTGTCAAATATGCCTAACCATCAGCATGGGATATTTTTCCTATCAGACACAATATAAAGATTTACACAAACAAACACATCAGAAATTCATGTAGCTATTGAGTTTTTGTATTAGCTAAGTAGAAGTGTCGGCTTTTCCTTCCAAGTGTTCAAGATAATAGATGTCTATGCTAAAATCTTTCAATCATCATAACAGAAATATTGTTAGTGTTGTAAATTTATCTGTTCATTGTGAACCTACAGCTCTTTTTCCCACCTCTTCATTTCCTTACTGTAGATAGTTGAAACACCTACATCTTGAAGACGATTTCTATTTATGTAGATTACAACCTGTACAAAGTGAATGAATAAATGAATGAATTGATGAATTCGCGTTTGTGGGATAGAATAACCTGCCTATCATTTAAATGGATAGCTACACATTGGTTTTTCGGAAAATCGAACATTCGTTTTTTAAGTTTTTAAAAACCAAGGAAGATATATGGTCTCATCATATGGTGCAACCACACTGGTGACTTCACTCCTTCATCAGAAATATAATAGCAAGTAAGATAAATTTCAAATTGTATACAAGATTAATGCAGAAGTAATTTTGAGCACTAAATTAACCTATCATTCCAAAGAGTTTTGTTTCAAGCTGAATAGAATAGAAAGATTTAGGCATTACGGTCATCTAATGGCTGATTGATATAATTTAACTTCTACAAAACAATTTATCAACTTCATTAATAGACGAGTAAAACTTGATCACTATGGTAGGTTTCAATTCCATTTTAGTCTGTTCATTAGAAATATCACACATTGTGAAACAGTACCATTTAATGATACCGAATAACTTTTTGTACATAATTTATTGCCCATATTCATATAAGAGATAACTCCATTCTAATTAACTCTTCTTCTTTGTGATGACAAGGATAAAAAAAATTTCCGCATATCTGAAACAGGTACGGAATCATTCCTGTTACTGTATGTATTTGGTGTCAGTTCGATAAACAAAGATTCTGATATCAATCTCTAACTTCTTCCACCCACTCAACTAAATTACCTTTTAATATTGTCACTCTCTCCCACCCGCCGATGACTTGTGTCTAGTGTCACACAAACTTGATGATCTACTGGCGAAAACTAACAAGTTGTCACAAGAGGCTAGGCAAGGCAGCAAAGATGGGACTCGCTTCAGGTGAGCATGAAGAAAACAGAGGTAGAGGTGATGAAGATACCGCACCAACAACTCCAACAACAACAACAAACTCCAGTCACCATGAACGGGAGAAACTTAAAGGAATTAGCCTCCTTCACCTATCTAGGTAGCACTGTTTCAACTACAGGTGACACTGATGAGGATGTCAAAGTCAGAATCGGAAAAGCAAGACAGGCATTCATTAGCTTGAAACCAATGTGGAGATCTTCTGCACTCAGTATAAAGCATGAACAACATCCGGATTTTCAACATCAATCCAGTCAAGTCAGTGCTTGCATGTGATGGTTGAGATACTTGGCGCGTTACGAAAAGCATTTCCAACAAACTACAGATATTCATCAACAGCTACAGTCTACGAACACTCGATAACGAAGATCAGATCAGAAGACGAGGAAGAATAAGCAACAAGGAACTCTGACCTGGCAACGGACTGTCGAGAGCCTGTCGCTCAACAAATATGCAACAGCAGGAAGTGGAGGTGGATTGGATTGGTCATACACTGAGAAGGCTGACTGGGGACACCACGCACCAGGCCAGGCCATCGAGTAGAACCCAGATGGGAATCGATGAGTCGGTCGTCCGAGGTGAGGGTGACATGGAGGAGACCTCGCGGGGGAGAAATGAAAGCTTCTGGGCTGTCGCGGAGCCAGGTTCAAGAGATTTCAGAGGACAGCGCGCATTGGAGACGTGCTACTGAAGCCCTATGCTTCATTAAGAACCCAAGGGACAAATAATAATAATAATCCCACCCGACTGTGTGATTGTGTACAATCGCGTGCAGAGCTATAGTCGAACTTTCCTCTAAACTTATTTTCTTACTGGGATCCATTAATGTGCTTTGTTATTCTAATCGACCCTCATTGATTACTTTGACCGATGTAGTTCACTTGGTGATTGTTTTAATGGATTTGGCAAACCAGATTATTTTGCTTAATTACATCAACAGGATCTTTTAACCTATGAAGCTTGTTTCTCAGCGAGTTTGTTGATTTAAATGTCACTCTAATCCCAGTCAGTCATATTGAGAATTCTTCGAAACCCTTCCGAAGTGCCTTCTTTGTGTGGTAACATAATGGAGCTTTGGAATTCCCTCTCAACCCTGTTATCCTTTCTGCTATTAGTAGTACGACTGTTAATCCCACCTAAGTTTATTAATAAATTCATAGGAAAAATATTACTAGTGGCAATAGTGATCGTAGTAATGGAGGTGTTAATAATAATAATTCTACTAATAGTAAAAATGATAATTGGGTTGGGAGAGAATTCTAAGCCGTAGTTGTGTTACTATACAAAGAAAGCACTTCCCAAGTGTTTTGAAGAGTTCTCAGCAAACTCGCTGAGAAACAAGCTTCACAGATTAAAAGATCCTGTTGATGTCATTAAGCAAAATAATCTGGTTTTGCCACATCCATTACAACAATCGCCAGGTCAACTGCATACGTTAAAGTAATCGATCAGGGTCGATTAGAACAACAAAGCACAAAACTTAGCTAAATCATCATAAGTAGATCCCAGTGAGATAAGAAATTTAGAGGAAGGTTCGAATATGGCTCTGCACGCAATTACACACAATCAGTCACACAGTAGGGTGGGAGGGGGGGGATAGAGTGACAGTATTGAAAAGTAATTCAGTTAAGTGAATGGGTGGGTGGGTGGAGGGAATTAGAGATTGATAACGGAATCGTTGTTTATCAAATCAACATGAAATATATGCAGTAAAAGGAATGATTCTGTACCTGTTTCAGATATGCAGAAAATTCTACTACTCTTGTCTTTTATCCTATCAGAAACGGAAAGACTACACGGACCTTTAGTTCCACTGGTTAAAATGTTTACTGAATCTTAACCCAGTTAACATCACCAGGGCGTTATAAACCCATCTACCATAACCACCTTCTATTCGATAGATACCAGTTACAACTAAACAGAGTTATTTTAATCTTTCGTATTGTCGGTTTCGATAACTGAACACTTCATCACACCTTATAATTAGATACTTTAACTGTTTGAAATGTATTTTCGAGAATAATTTATTTCAACGAAACAATAAGAATACTTAAATTGTCTGAACCGTGTAATATGCATTTACGCAACATATTTCGAACTATCTAATCACACACTTACTTGTCATAAGTATTTGTTGGAGAATTCATAAGGAGAAAAGGCGTCAGAAAATGAAAAAGATGACGTAAGAAGGCCGAATAACAATGAAAATCAATAGAGTAAAAAAAAATACTACATCGAACTTGATTTTCAGTAGTTGAAGTTACCAAGTAAGATATAATGAGACAACACAAATTGTTTATGAACACACAAAGGTGGTTTCAACTGTCTAATAGCTAAGACCTCAACAAATTTAAGCATCCCTCCCCAACACGTTTTGTAAATAGGTGTGAAAGAAGTAGTCATATCAATCCTTTGACACATCTCAATGATATGTTTGGCGATCGAAGAACTTGGATGTTTACTGTCAACGTTTATGGGTTCAGGTGATTTAATTTGCTTCTGAAGCTAATTTGGAATATGTTCTGAGGTCCTTACTTTCATGGATCTATGTGTCCTCTAAATGTATGTGTCACCACATGTACACTTGAATTGGTAGATACAATGGGATGTGACATTGTTGTTCACAAGCTGTGGGGGTTTGTTAAAAATACGGGCTTGGTAGTTTCTATCATTAAAACTCTGGTTGCGTAATAAGTCCGTCTAACAAAAGCTTTAAGTATCTGGTTGAGAATCAGATAGTTCAAAATGTGTTAAGTAAATACACTACACGGCTCAGACAATTTACGTCTTATTATTGTTTTGTTGAAGTTTAGTAATTATTATTATTTCTGCCTTGGGTTTTCCCTTAGGAACATAGGGCTTCAGTAGCACGCTTCCATTCAACTCTCTTCTCTGCAGTCTGCTCAACCTGGCGTCACGACTGCCTACAAGCTTTCATTTCTTCCTCACATGATCTCCACTATGTCACCCTTGTCTCGGACGCCCAACTCGTCGATTCCCATCGGCGTTCCACTCGAAGGCCTGGCCTGGCGCGTGATGTCCCCAGTCGGCTTTCGCAGTGTATGCCCAATCCAATCCATCTCCAATTTCTTATTCTGCACATTTGTTGGGTGATAGGTTCGTCGCCAGGCAGCCGGAGTTCCTTGTTGCTCATTCTTTCTGGCCATCTGATCTGATCTTCAGTATTGGGCGTAGGCAGGTCGAAGTTTATAAAAGGAACCAATTGTTTTAAATTTATTTTAAATTTATCCTCAGTGTTTAGTTTTATTCAACATTGCTGACAGTAAATATTAGCATGAAAAAATTAATTATAAAATTCTGACCTGTGGATGACTTTTTATTCTGGTCTCAAATGTTTCTATACTCCTTTTTGAACGACTGTAGAAACCATATTGCTCCCAGTGACTGTCACTATAATCTCTTGAAGTAACTTCGTAAACATTTTGGAAAGGAACCTAAAAAAAGTGATTGGTATGAAAAGAAAAATTAAAATAGTTGTTACGCAATTACAATTTTGCTTATTATATATGAATACTTAAATTCCTAAAATAATTGTATATTGTTATGTGGCCGAAGACATTCAAGAAGGACTCCCGGGTCCTAGGTTTCATGTTCTTTGACACCAGTCTGAAAGGTGTATCTACAACCTTGAGGTGAGTAATGTTCTTATAGAGATTTGAACCGGTTCGATCCACTCCTGCAGTTACAGGTGTCACTAGTAAGCTATTCGGGCAATGATTGACCTCTTACATGATTGGGTGACATCAGGTGTTTTGCTAGTGAAGTGTAACCAACTCCTTGTAATCCAGTCTTAAGTATTCAATAAATTCGATCGACTATTTTGTATTATACTTACTTGAGTGTTAACAAAACTTCATTTGAGTGATCTTTTTGGAATTCAGTAATCTTAACAGAACTTTCGTCATAGATTGATTGAGCTCAGTTAAGAAACTGTTAAAAAAGAGAGAAGTAGACGGCTACTGATATTTAGCAGTGACACCCTTGAAATAAAACAAATTTTTGGGAGTTATCCAGTCTATTTATCAAGGTTCATGAGTGATTGTCTAACATGAGATAAATCTTCTCAAGTTCGAGTAAGACTTACGACCTTCAAGATCAAGTAATTAATAGTGGTGAGGGATACCCATCAGTGACACTAAAGTTTTCACAGTATATGGCCATTTGATTTAAACCCAAGTGGTAAGCTGCTGGTCAGGTTCATATGAAAATTTTGAGTTCGATTTTATGTTGATTATAAGTGTACATTGTTAAAAAGCCTCGAACAGGAAGCGAACACATTATTATTCCTCTTTGATTTTCCATTATATTACAGTCAACGTCAATTCGCTATTATAGCTTGTTTGGAAAATATATACTATTGAAAACAACATTTTAAGAAATATTGTTGCATTATTGGTTAGTAAAACTAATGCTTGAGAAAATGATTCTCTCCATATCTTTATGAAGTGAGTTATGGCTCAGTGGTTTAAAAAGTTGACTATCAACCAGTTAGCCACAGCTTTGAGCCCTGCTACATATACTGAAGTGGTTTGAGCAGCCAGGTTGTATTATTAACCCTCACATGACAGATATGGCTCATTGCCAAATGTATGAGTGTGCACAAGTTGACTGAGTACATTTTGTCTGTTTGAATCCTAATTCAGGAAACAAAGGTAATGGGATTTGCTTAATCATCTCATTTTCTTTAACAGACCAGTAATAAAAAGATGCAGTTTAATATTTGATTCACATTGCAACACTATGCATCATCATCATCATCACAATCATCATAGAATACAGCATAGAATGACAGTCAACTCAACTCTACCTCAAATTCATCCACTTCAAAAAGGCCTTCCTTCGAGAGCGTCGACAGCGCTGACAAACAATATGACAGGCAGATGCTTCAACACCATGGTTTTACTGCCACAAACCTTCATCATGCAACAAAAACTGTGAGGGGCTGTGAGATGATTTAGATTTCGCCAATGATGATACTTGGTGTCTAATGTCTAATGTCGCACAAACTCGGAGATCTACATGTGAAAACTAACAAGTTAGTAGAAGAGGCAGGGCACGACAGGACAGGGTAGTGACGACGAGACTTCCTTCAAGTGAGCGGAGAGAAGACAGTGGTAGAGGTGATGAAGATACCCAACCACCACCACTCACGACAACAACAACAACAACAACAACAAGAAGCACCAAAAAGCATCAAGCAGAGAAATCTGAAGGAAGCTGTCTCTTTCAGCTACCCACCTACCTACCTACCTACCTACCTACCGACCTAGGCAGCATCGTATCGACTACAAGAAGCTGGACAGATGGGGATGTGAAAGCCAGTCAGGATCGGAAAGACAGCAAGACAGGCCATCCTGCATTAATCTGAAATAATCAGTGTGCAGATCTACTGCACTCCACTCAGCATAAAGCGTGAACGAGATTCGGATTTTGAACACTAATTCAGTGAAGTAAGCCAGTGCTTCTATGTGATGGTTCACAGACTTCTCGCGTAACGAAAAGCATTTCCAACAAGCTGCAGACATACACCACATCAACAGCTTCCGCCTACGCCCACTCAATACTGAAGATCGATGAGATGGCCAGAACAATGAGAATAAGGATAGAGGAACTGTAGCTGGTTCCACAACGAACCAACAAAGCAGGAACCTATCGACCAAGAAAAATGCAGAATAAGAAATTGGATATGGGATGGATTGGATTTGGCATACACTGAGAAGACATGAGGAGTCAGGTCAGGCCGTCGAGTGGACGTCGAATGTGGAATGACGATTTGGGTGTGGTAGGTGGGGGTGATGTGGAGGAGATGGTGTGATGAATAAATGAGAACCTGTTGTGAGTGGTGGAGAGAGGTTGGAATCGAAGACTGGATAGGATAGAGTGAAATGGTGACGTGGTAGTGTAGCTTTATATTCCACTAGGAACACAAGCGAAAAATAACAATAACCAGTGTAGTAAATTAGAAAACAGTTCTCTAGTAACACTCATTTAATTATCTATATGGTTGCTGTCAATCAACTGACAACACCTTGAATCAAAGACAAGTCCATTACAGTGTTGTTTCAATAGGCTAAGTATAAAGATATCCATACTGTATCACTTATTTTATTCATCAGATTTACACTGATAGTTTGGTGTTACATCATCTGACTCATGGAGTTTCAAAATCTGTACAAGGGAATTTACTCATGTAAATAGCATAACTTTCACCTTCATTTGTATATCATTTTGCGAATTCACCTCAAAATTGTGTTGTATATCACATGCTTTAAACTAATCGAATTTTAATTTTAGGCTGGAATTCATTATGGACCGACATCATTTGGAGGAAGATTAGAAATCTGGGAGCACTGCACAACTTTATCCGTCCCCTCAGTAGTGTGCACCCAAAACCCCAACCCACGAGGGGTCGAACCCATGACCTTCAGGTTTCGTGGTCAGCTGGTTACCATTGAGCCACTGGTTTGGAATCCAGTGGTCCACATTTCTTACTTCTGTCAGTTGTTGACATAATGTGACCTACATCCAATGTCCTCATTGAGTAACTGTCCTCATGATCGACTTGGTTGACTCCCCTGGTGACGACTTCTTTCCTCTCAAAGCTAGTCACCAGAGACATATTCTTAAAGATTAGAAAACCAATATGGAATGAATCAAAACTGAAGTCAAAGGAGTAGACGTATTCAGTCATCATCATCATTTTAGAGTCCTGGATATCGAAATACCTTCCATTTGTTCCTTCTGTTTTCATTCTTACATATTTACTTATTTTTATGTCTTCCTAATTTGTAGTAGAGTGTAATAATCAAAATACTAGTACTCTGTTTACGGTTCCAGGTTGTTCTATTTATCCATCTAAGTGATAAAGGATTCTCATTCATATTTCATCCGTTTTATGTATACCATCCCGTTCAATGACTCTGTATTTTGTTTGCTTTATGTGACCTTAACCTACATGGCCGTTCTTACACCGTTACTAGTTTTTCTTTCCTCTCCTCTCAGTGACGAACTCTCAATGGTTGTTCACTATATATGGATTTAGTGTTGTCAAGGTCATTTGGAGATGAATATATTCAGCATCACTGTGAACTGTATTGACTGTTGTTGAGACAGCTCTCAATCAATGGTCTGTTTTCCCTTCTTGTCTTCGAGCATCGGTGGCATTGTTGTTGTTGTAGCGGTGGTTGACGTTCTGAATAACATTAGAGTAGGTTCGCTGCGCGCTAGGTTCATACCGTTCGCAGTCTCCTAGGTTCATTTCACTCCTAGGCTGTTAGGTCACACTGCCGGTCATATCAAATTGACGACGGTCATAACAACGTTGTTATCAAACAACGACCACTAAAACTCGATACCAATGAAATATACATATTTACATTAACTAAAATGTGAACCTATTGACTGTAAAATCCTTGACTTCGATGATGCAAGCTCAGGTTTCTAAGTGAAAACAAGTTCCTTAGAAGCGTTAAATAAAAAAGGAACAGTCATCAAAGTTCCCTTCCAACCAATACTAAATACTATGGTAATATATGTTAAGCAGACTAGAATAACTGCTGAAATGTCTAACGTGTAATTGTGTTTACCATCCTACTTCAGTAATAAGACGAATCAGTAAAGGGAATACCGGCAAATTATGAAGTTTAATAATAAACAGTAAACTTTCCTGACCTCATATTAACTCCTGCGGATTCCTACAAACCCGGAAACTTAAAAAAACTTCTGCTGTGGCTATGGGGTCACCCATAGGCCCACTGTTAGCAGATTATTTCCTATCCTCTGAACGAAACTATTAGCTGATTGGAATTAATTTGTCGTTACATAAATGATATCTTTATAGTTCTAAATAGTAAGAGCGATACGAATATTGTTCATAATAAGTTTAATAGTGTTCATCTGGCAATCATATTCATAGTAGAAGTGGAGCAAAATGAGAGTATCCCATTTCTTGATGTTCTGATAGTAAGTAGGTTAGATGGATCTTTGAAGCGAAGTGTATATTGAAAGCCTAGATTGAAAGGTTAATACACAATTCTTTACTGCCGTACCCCTTTAATACAAAAGGAACCCGGTGAAATGTCTAGCATACCACTCCACAACTATTTGCTCAGATGCTACTATGGGGAAAGATTTCACCACCATGCATAACCTGCTTAGTAGGAATATCTATCCAGCGAGGTTTATAACCAAGCATATGAATGTCACAAAAGTTTATACAAGCATATCAACAGTTTCTATGAAGCAAATCTTCTTGTAGCTGAAATTCAAGAATGACTTTGTTAGTGACATCATCACACAACGCATTAAAAGCATTTACAGCCGCTAAATTATGTGCTATCCTCTACAGCCGCTTGATTCTACCTGTGAGAAATAAATGCATACTGTCTAATTCTGCCACTATTATGTGCATATATCAGTTCAACTACTTCTGCTG